GTAGACATTTCACAGACCAGACACGAGCTGGGGCTTTGCATTTCACATTTGTGTCTGTCGGAGAGGAAGAAATCTCGCAGCAGCGGAGTGTGAGTAAGTGCTTGGACAATACAGTTCATAAAACACGTGTTCCCAAGATTAATTAGCCCCCGGAGACCTGTTTAAAAAGGGGAAACAAAAAGAGGGACAAGTGAACTATGGCTCAGTTTGACAGGACTGGAACTCAGCTCAGCTCAAAACTTTCAGTTTCTGATTTGCAACTGTTATTCCTTTTGCATTTTGTTCTTAACTTTCACTTTTAAATGCTTTAAATGCATCTGGCAACGTGATTAGACATTGTGATTTTTTTACCCCCCCCCCCAAATGTGGGCATCTCATGTGTACCAACAATGTACTTTCACTGCTAAGCAGAGCACCTACTGCTCACCATAGCATGTTTAAAACTAGAGCTTCTTAAACCTTTGTCACTACAAGTACCATCACTGAAGACTTGAGCCCTCTAAAAAATACTGCAGAAAGCTAAGCTTGGCAGTCCATATTTGCATACTAGAGAGAAGATCAAAGCATGTACTGCCTCAATTTTTGGTCTCTGGCCCCTATTCAGCCACAATTCCCATCACAATAACCACATCTTGGTAGGAAACTATAGCAGTTGTAAGCCATCATTTGGATTTTAGTCCCCCCCCCCCCCGTTGAAAAGAATCAAAACTGCAGAACATCAACAAAACGTAAAAGAGCTTTCAGCATACTCCTTTTCGTCAATATTTTCATCCAAAGATTCCCTACCAGCAGAACCAATGCTGGTTGGGTTTTCTGGGAACTTGAACCTCAGGCTATCTAGAGGGCATCCAGGTCTTAAAGCACGAACCAGAGGAACAAAATATAAATTCACATGTTTGCTCCGGATGTGAAAGTAATGAGACGTCAACCAAAATCAGGAAGCTAACAAAATATTTAAACTTTGATTATAGCTGAAATTCTCTTCTTAAACAACCTGAAACAGGAAACACTAATTAGAGGTTACTAGTGGACGTAGATAACCAGCCTGAAGAGTTACAAATTCTTACCCCTCCCAAAGCAATGCAACTAAAATTCTGAGATGGCTCATAATATTTAAATGGCCTTGTATATGCAGAAATATTTCTGAAAAGCCTTTCATCTTCCTTTGTCAAGCAGGTATGTATTTCTGTTGCTAGGATACTGCAGACTAAGAGCAGTGAATTGCTGTACTGGACAATCTATTATGTACTGATACGGAAGCCATCCTAAACTCACTGGCATTAACATACCGCTATCATCCTCTCCAGCCCCAAAAGCCACTTCCTATTTTCAACAAGAAATTGCTCTGCTTAACTTTTATCTAAGCATTTAATTCTTATTACAATCTGCTGTATAAATATTGAGAATGCCTTTTGGCTCATGGAATCTATCATATTTTGAAAGCGTGCGGCATCAGACACGGTGTGTTGTGGATTTGCAGGCCTGTTGTGCAGAGGCACAAAACAAGAGACTGTGCGTTATAACCAGAAAGTAATTCTATCTCTTTATTAACCAGCCCAAATTCCGAAACTAAACGCAATTCAAAATACATTACACAAGACAAGACACAAGTGCATCACTTAAATACATGGCGTTTACTGACTATAACTCTGAAAAACAGATTTGACAAGGCTTTTTTCTTTCTTTTTATTTAGCAGGACAGGTAGTCCTCAACTTACGACCACAATTAAGCATTTTATGTTTGGCCTGCAGTGTGTATTGTAGACAAGGGTACACCAACAAAAAAAAACAACCCAAATATCTTTGCCACCAATGGGGCTGTTGTAACCGCAACTCAGGCATAACTACTATAGTTTTATTATCACCGATTTCAGCTACGAGTATCATTAATGATGAGAAGTGGCGGAAGAAACAACAAAAGACAATAGGAGTAAGACAAGGTTTAATAAAAAGGTTAACAGCAGACCATGTTAAATGGTTTCTGATTTAAAGTTGGCCAGCAATTATTGTCATGCTCTAAGAATGAAGCTGAGGAATTTCTTCACTGCCTGTGACAGCCAACTAAACATAGGATCATTGTTATAAGCCAGAATTGAAGAACTGTTCCATGGAGTAGCATCACAAAAATTCACCTGCAAAAACAATGCAAAGTCCAGGCTTCGGTAGGAAAAAAAGGCAAGGACAACTGCATTTTTAGCCTTGCTTCTCGCCTGTATGTAAAAAAAGACAAACCCTAGGCAATAAGAAGTGAAATATACAAATTACAAATTAAATGCAAGAGGGTTGAATGAAAAATAATCCATCCAGTTCTGGAAGTGACCAACAGATGGCAGTCCTGATATCTCCAAAGCTTGGATGTGTTTTGGAGCCTCTCTCCTTTCACTTTAATGGGTGGGAATTAAGTTACATGCCAGGGCTGAATTTTTGACTGGCAAAGGAGTGCCTCCAATTGAAATTCACCATCAAAGGCAGCTTTTGGATGACAGTAAGAGCATTGATGTGAATACTATGCATCCCTGGACCAAAAATATAAAGAGGATGAACCAAAGAGAGGTGATTCGTAGGTTCAAGAACAAAGTGCGCGATCTGTGACAGCAACCAACAGGAGAAAAGTTGATGGACTGATTAGGGATGAGCGGTGGAGAAATTGCTGTCAAACAAACGTGGCATTTCACAGGAACATTAAGGTTACATTATCGATATTCTCCAATCTTGGAAGGTTTGTGGAACTGGGCTTCCTCGCATGCTAACGGCAGAGGTGAAAACTTCAAGAATTAAAGTTGGCCAGCAATTATTGTCATGCTCTAAGAATGAAGCTGAGGAATTTCTTCACTGCCTGTGACAGCCAACTAAACATAGGATCGTTGTTATAAGCCAGAATTCAAGAACTGTTCCATGGAGTAGCATCACAAAGCTTCACCTGCAAAAACAATGCAAAGTCCAGGCTTCGGTAGGAAAAACTCACGGTTATCATTCTTGAGGAGGCAGACGATGTTATTCAGATGAATTTCCTTGAACCTGGACACACTATCAACACAAGAGGATTACACTATAACATCAAAACCTTGAACACAATGATTAGATGGACTTTGGAAGCATAAGAAGGACATTTTGCTGCAACATGGCAACGTTAGGCCTGCTACCTCGTGAGCTATCCAAGAGTCAATTGTGAAACTGGATCTCATAATCTTATGTCATATAGGCCAGAACCTGGCACTCTAACTTGAACCTTTTCCCCCAAAGTGAAGGAATACCATAGTAGGTATCTGTTTGACTCAAATGAAGAGGTGAAAAGAACAGTGAGGACTTGATTGAAGAGGCAAAGTGTGGAGTTTGTTCATGGTGACTTTTAAGAAGTCTGTCCATCATTGGCAGAAATGTGAACGGTGGGGACATGTATATAAAAGTAATGAAAGCATTAGTTTCAATCATTATTTTCCTAGTTCATTTCTTCAACTGTCCATATTTAAAGTACAGTTAGGCAGGTGGGGGTGTTACTTTTCACTCCATCTGCTTATATTGAGGTGTCCCCAGGGTTTGCTGCGATCAAGAGGTTTATAAAATAACGGTCACCAAACTGCCTTTTCTTCAAGCTAAATATCATCAGTTCCATAAGCCTTTCTTCACAACTTCCATGGGCTCTCCAAACTTGTGGAGTTGAAGTCCACAAGCCTTAAGTTCCCAAGTTTGGAGAGCCCTGCTTTAAAGCCCCAAATGCTATTTCCCTACCGGGAAATTCCTAAAGTGGGATTAGAAGGAATATCACACAAAAGCTCTCTTGACGAGGGAAGATAACTTGATTAATAGCAGGTTGGGGGCCTCTAAATGTGATGTATAGCAAATGCAGACATAAAGGGAAACAGGCAACAGTGACTTGCAAATGCAGTGTCATTAACTTTCGGTAGTCTAACTCGCACCGCCAAGTTTTCTGCCAAAAATTCTGGAAGCAGTTCAACTCTGCAGCCCTCCACAGCACCGGAGATCAATACTGAAAGAGGTCTGCAGTAATCTTGCATCAAATTGTTTACCTTATTTAAAATCAACACCAAAGCATTTATCGTACACCCTTCGTATATAAGCCCATCCACTGTTTTTACCAATTTATCAAACGGGGTGCAGAAAGAAATATATTACTACTGCTATTGTCTTATGTAGAAGGTGAAGTAGTAAGACTAAAAATAATGACAGGTGACACCACATAGACAACCAAGAACAAACCTGGAAGCTAAGCAGGATCAGTCCTTTTTAAATACGTGGATGCTGGAACAAATGGGTATTTCACGACTCCAGGACAGGTTGGGAATTTTTTGGGAAGAAGAGGAGTCGTCGGGGAACTGCACTGATAAAGCATTACTGGAGTTTTTCCTCCAACAGAGATAATTAAAATAATCCAATCCTTTTCCTTGACAAGTCAGGAATCAAGACACACAAGTGATTAAGAACGCGGTTGGGCTGAAAACGGTGATCAAATAGTTTCATTAAGAATTAACAAGAGGTTCAAGGAATTCTCCAGTTCTCCCACATTCTTCCATTACTGCTTCCAATGGTAATATCAGAACCACAAGTTGCAAACTTAAAGCTTGAGAAAAAAGCTCCCTGCCTATCAGTATTTTGAAGAAGTCCAACTGCTCTGATTAAAACATATTTTTGTAAAGTTGTAAACAACAAAGAAAGCACAAAGGCATCGTGCCCCGTAAGAAGGCTGCAAGTGCTAAACAAGAGGGCAAAAGATACGAAGACCTAAAGGAATTGGTCTTTGTTGGAATTGGAGGATGTTCTATCAATGATAATTGGAATTTCACTTTCAGAGCTGATAGCCGTAACAGAGTGAAAGTTGGATGCTCTTGATGGAGACATTAAAGCAAAAGGAGTTAAGGTGAAACTGTCTTGCAGGCAGAGAATATTCCACGAGAGCGGTTGTGATGTCTGGAGGTTTCAGAGATGTGATAAATAAACAAACCAACAAACCAGCCAGATGCAGTTTCAATCTCCTGTTTTTAGGTGAAATGGAGTCAACTGAGCATTCAGCTAGAAATGAGAACATACATAGATCTAAGGGCCCATTCATAGAAACAGTTTGCAACAAATTTTGCAACAGTTTGCAACAGCAAATCCTATTTGTTTCAGATATGCTTTTCCAGTTTGAACAGTTTTAGC